GAAGCAGGAGAAACATAAAGAGAAGAAAGAATTGTTGGGGTTGGTCTCCACTATGACGAAATCAACAAAGAAAAAGTTGTAATGGAAATGAGCCTAGCCAAATCGAAGAGGTGATAAGCCAGACTGACAAGCTGAGCTGGCAAACCACCGAGCCGAACTGGCGAACCGCCGAGCAGAAACAACGAGTTGGATCGATAAAGACGGATTAAACAATTCATGTCCCAGATAGGTGGACCAAACCAACAAGATATACCAAACCGATGATTCAAGATAAATATTTTTAAATAAAAATAATAGCGTGGTTAACAAAATTACAACTAGGTATTCAAACCTGTAAAAAATCGACTACAACATAAGAACACAAGTTATATATAAAATCAGTAATATATTATATCTTTAAATATAAAAGTTGGGTTTGGAAAACAACAATAAGCGGAGACCGACCCCAACAATTCTTTCTTCTCTTTCTGTTTAAAAAGATACAGATAATAGAAATGAAGAAGAAAGAATAGAAAGGGAGAAGGAGAAGAAAAAAAACTAAATACAATATTAAAAAACATAAATTTCATGTAAAACCAATAACATATTATCATATTTTACAATAAAAACTTGTGTGTCTACTATATTAATTTAGTTGCACGTAATTTATATTATCTTATTTTCAAATTTATATTTTTGTATTTACAAAATTTAATTTTAATCCTCATAACACATAAATAAATAATTTATTATTAATTTAACTATAGTTTTTTTGTAGGAGGGGGGTGGGGGAGACATCGTAACTGAAAATTGAAACTAAAGTAGGTGAAACCGAATCTAAAAACTAGACACCTAGAGGAAGGGAAAAAACAGAGTTAGCTAATCCATCAACAAGACAATTAGTTTTTTTGTTAGCAAGAAAAAAAGACAATTAGCTTTTATATACACATATGAAAAATAGACTATTCATTCTTTCGAAATGAAACCATGATACATATGTACTAGAAAACAGAATATCTTATAACATAATATATAATAAATCTTCTTATACTACATAATTTAAATATTTATAAAATTTACTTCAAGAATCATATACTTGCGCGGGCGCGCAGGTCCAACATCTAGTTTTATTTAAAATACAGTTTGTTAAAACGCTCATACGTACTATCCTCATTGCACTCTTAATTAAGTTGGCATGCTTTTGTACTAATCAACCCACTGGACACATAAGATGCATATCGTATATATCAATCTAAAAAAAAAATCAAATACAACAAAAAGAAAATGCATGGGGATTTGCCATGCAAATAAACATATGAACTTCTCTTAGCCACGTATCATATGTAGCCATATATGTGAAACTTAGGAAACGTGCGAGTCAAAATTTGAAATTTGTATGATGACAAAAGCAGAAGTTTCATTAGAATGGACATGTCGTGTTTCTCTGCTGATTCTGCATCCTGCGTCCAAAGTTTACTCTTAGATATGCCCATTTTTATTTCGTAGCATCTTCTACCATACAGTCCATACACCCATTCTAATGGTCCAGCTGTGTTTTGGCAAAACAATTGTGAAATTGCATGTGTTTTGGCCGTAGTTGTTATGTTTAAGCGGTTATCAAAAAAAGTTGTTGTGTTTAAGTAAAAAACTAACTGCAGTTATAGTATTCAACCACAAAACTTTAATCATCAAATACAATTTTAAAATTAGTAACTTGGAATAGGGAATATAAAGTTGTATACACGGTAAATAAGAAGTAATTATATACCAAGTTTCAAATTCTTTTCTTTTCATTAGAGTTTTAAAATCGAACAGAACTAGGATATATAATTTTTTGCGCAAACACATCTCATTTGAATTATGAGATTTTGCTTAACGTACAAAGACTAATAATTAGTTTCCAATACTCTAAGTAAAATGCTATATAAAACAATTTCATGGTGTCAGCTACTCATGTTTGTTAACGTGGCAAGTACAAATCTCTTGATGGTTGATGCAGGCTAAGAGCTTCAGGGCAGACGAACTAATTGAGTTTTACAAGTTAATGATTGTTCTTCTATACTAATTTCTATTTTGTCATTTAATTTGTTAATTTTTCAAGTACTTAGATCATTTGCCATTTCATAAAAAATTAAAATAGTATGAACAACCAATCAAAACATTTAATTTTAGACATCAGTTAGAATATATTTTTACTCATTTCTGAATTATTTTAAAAAATAAATAAGCCAAGTGAAAAATGTAAAAAGAACCACAAAACAAGAACTTAGTCGAAGATATGAAAGTGAAAAATGTTGAAGAAGAGATGCATTCGAGATTCAGAATATCTTGTATAGTTCAGTAATGGAAACCATTGAGCAGCTTCAGAAACAGACATCAGTTACAGAAAGTTCTGATTTGAGTTTTATTTATCTCTTCATATTTTGGAAAGAAAACCTTTACGCCTTTTTGTATTTGCTTTAACGAGATTATGTCTCTATTAATCAATAAGTGCTGAAACTGTTTGTCAAGCAAGAGAAGTGGAAGAGTTATCTATTATTGGAGTTCAAAGTGTTGTGAGCAAATCTAATACAACAGAGTTTCTTAATGAAGAGAAGCCCTTTGTGATGGATGAGAGTATCTTTGTATCTACAAGGTTGTACGAAACTATTGGAACAGAGGAGGAGAAGATGATCAATGAGACTCTGGAAGAAATTATTCCTCAAGAGATAGTTATAAAGATCAATCAAGAGACTAATATGTAACAAAGAACATGGTTTCTTGAGATTGAAGAACAAAAGATTCTGAATTTGGACCATCACAATGATGAAAAAGTTACAAATGAAGCAAATTACCATTCAGTTGGATTTGTCTAGATTAAGCTTTAGATATATTCAAGAGAAAATTGCATAAGGGTCATTAGTTCTTATAAAATTCTTAATAAAGTGATACATCTTAGTGTTTTGCAATTTTTTTTTGTTATTAAAAGTCAATATTTCACAACATTCTATAAAGAAACCTGCAAAACATGTGACCATCATGATTTCAATAAGGTCGATTCTGAATACACGGACAATTTTTTAGAATTTGTATATCACTTAAGCTTGGTGTACATTTACTTTATTTATATGTAAACTATTATATAAACATTATTTGATTTTGAGTAGAATAAAAAATATTAAATCAAATTTTTAAAAGCTACAAGAAGATAAGAGGAAGTCACTTGATCACTCCGAACGGAATAAGAGATTTTGAACCAAAGAAAAACATTTTGACCAATAGTTTATTCATTTCTAATCTATCTTTTAATCAAAACATGAAACTAAAATAAAATAAAAATAAAATTTAAAAAACATATATAAATACAGTATCCCGCAGCATACCGTGGGTTTAAATCTAGTGTTCCTAATATATAATCGTATTCTAAGAAAGTTTTTTGATAAATTTCACATAATTCTTTATAATTTTCCGTATATTACTTGCAAAAGAAAACTTTAAAGAGACAATTCATTAACAAAAATATAAATTTTATTGTCTAGTCATCGTGTGAGTAATTTGAGAATTTTTTTTGTTCGATATATAATAGAAATTCTATAAATTAATTATAGTAGAATTTTGATATTTTATTAATTTATCAGTTTTGAATGAAACAAATTATGAATAAATAAATAAAATAGTATCTTTTTAAAAAATTATGATATTTCCTAACATTTTAGTTAAAATTTATAGATAAATCATAAAATATATTAAATTTAATAAAAAAAATAAACAACAATATACTCATATATTAGTAAATTATCATAACTGTATATTTGTATAAGATTGTTTTATATACTAATTATTAATTTATGATATAAATGGGATTGTAGATTTATATTGGTTTTTTTATAAAAAAATTAGTATCTTACTAATTTATCAATTTATGTTATATTTTGAACCGGTCCAACTTGGGACCAAAGAAACTTATTAATTTATAGAGTTTATTAATTTATGGAGTATTAATTTATAGAGTTTTCACTGTATAGATTTAGAAAACTAAATTTTAATTACTAAATTATGTATGTTATTTTTCATATTCTTTCATTTCCACCACAGAAAAATGAAAGGCAAAATTAAAATCGAATGTCCCAAATAAAAAAGACTTGCAAATAACCAGAAAAAATGAATTAAAACTTGCAAATATGAAGGTTTTACGAAACTGCTACCAATCATATATATGAATAGAGGTGAGCCCTCTCCCACAGCTTGACACATCATCATTTCAGATGAATTTCCAAATGACAAGTGTCAACTTAATATTAAAAACATAAAAAAATAATAATTATTTTTATTAATGCATTTGGTGAATATGAAAAGTCTATTTATTTATATATTAAAATTGTAAAACTGAATTAATTTATCTATAAATAATCAAATTCATATTGAAAATTAAATTTGAAATAAAGAATATTTAAGATATAATAAAATCAGATGAAATTAATTTATACCAAAGTAGAAGATAAAAAGATGATTTGACAAAGGTGTTGGTGTAGGCATATAAATCGTTTTTATTGTGACAAGTGTCAACTTAATATTAAAACCACAAAAAATAATCTTAATTATTTCTATTAATGCATTTTGAGAATATGAAAAGTCTATTTGTTTATATATTAAAGTTGAAAAACTGAATTAATTTATCTACAAATAATCAGATCCATATTGAAAAAATTACATTTAAAATAAAAAATATTTAAGATATAATAAAATCAGGTAAAACTACTTCATGCCAAAGTAGAAAATAAAAAGATAAAATTTGACAAAAGTGTTGGTAAAGGAATATAAATAAATCTTGTCTGGTATATGGAGCTCTGGTGATAAATATATAAAATTATATTGGATAACTATGTTTCATCGATATCTATAAGATGATAGGCTCCCCTAAAAATAGCATATAATGTTATAAATTAAACTCTAATATATAAAGAAGTTCATTACATTTAGTAAATATACATTATTTAAAAAAGAATTTATAAGTATGAAATTCAAATGGAAATATTATATTATTTATAATAAAATATATTTTAGAAAAAACATGCGCGTATGCGCGGGTATAAGTCTAGTAGAATATAAATATTCTAAGAGTAAATGAAAATGCAAATTATTAATCTGGATATTTGGAGAGAGAGGTATACAACAGTATTAGGGAGTGTTAAGGAACCTAGAAAGGCCGATTTTGCTACCATGGTTCTCAATATCAAGCTTAACTTGAGCTTCATACTCCGAGAATTTGAATGTCTTATAGCGACTCGATTCAAACATACACTCTTTGTCTGGGAACACAAAATAAATTATCGAGTATCTCTCTTTCTTCTTCATAATCTTTCCCACTTTATGCAACACACTCTTGTACTCGTCATCACTTAGCACCTGCATTAAATCAATTTTGCACTTTTAAGATTTAATTCATCTCAAATGAAAAAATCTATTTAGCACGCAACGGGTAGTTTAAAAATTAATTACCTGCATCATATCCCCTAGATTGATGACAAAAGAATTTGCAAGAGGTGTGGCTTTGAACCATTCACCATCTTTCATGAACTCTAGCCCACCAACTTCGTCTTCGTTTATTATCGATATCACCGAACTATCCGTATGAGCCTCAAGTCCGGGTGATTCGGTGCACCGAGGGTACCGTTGAACACGTACCAGACCTGTTGACTCCGATAAGTAGCTCATTTTCCGGTCACCGGATATTTCCAAGGACAGTGTGTCTGCTATAGCTTCAAATAGGGTCACAACAATCCTACTTATGTGCCTTCCATATTCCTCCATCACCACTCTGCGTAACTCATATTAGACATATTACATTTCTTACGTAGTAAAGTCATTTAATTTGATCTATTCGGTAAAATCAGTTTTCAAAATGTGAAAAAACTACATACAATTCAAACCTAATTCAAAAATGTGAATCACGTGGAATCACATACCATTCCCTGCTTATTAGTTTTGTCTTTAACTTATTTTAGTTTTTGAACTCATCAGTTTTTAGGTTTTTACTCATCAGTTTTGCAGTATATCGAAACCCAATGTTAATGAAAGTTATATGTTCAGCCCAATATTAATGAAAACTATACTTTATTTCACATTTCTTTTCAATTTCCTAGATTCCATGACTCATAACTTTTCCTCGGTGTTATCAATCTAGTCACCGACTATTTATCTAAACATTAATGACATGATTCAATTCTTTAAACAACCAAGAACTACCAATGAAGTAAAAGGGTAAAACGACACCGTATAAACCGTACCTGAAAGACTCGAGCTTAGGATCAGAGCATCTAGAATGTGGAAGAAGACGAGAGAGAGAAGCTAGAGGAACGTTGATGCCTTCGAACAAGTGAGCACCAGATTTTTCTGGGTCCCTCTTTAAGGCATTTCCTGATGGGCTTACCATTTGTGTCGACCAGTAATAAGATAACGGAGAGTTAACACCGAACATCTTCCGTTTCTCTTCGAACGGCAGATTCAACAGCGACTCCGTTACCTCTTTCACCTGTGACATCAGCGTTGACGGTATCCCCGTATTCTCCAGATGGAATATTCCCCAGTCTTTGCATGCTTCTTTCAGTTTCTCCATATCCAAACGCTCGAGATTGATAACCGGGATCTGGATATCCTTGCTCTTGTTGAGATCTGTTAGAGAATGAGAATAGATCTTAGACCGGTTATGATCAGACCGTGTAATTAAGATTGGTTTATCTCAAGATAAACCAGAACTCTTTCTTCATATAAAGAGAAATACTATGTAACAAGAATCGTCTACATACGCTCAACGGTTATTTCTGGTTCAGTAGACTCGCTCATTAGAGGTCGAAACTCCGGCGGGTATGACTCTGTGTTGCTCATGGTCTCCTGTGAAGTGGACTCGTTGTTTCTGGCTTTATGCTTTCTAGTACTATGTGAATACGGGACTAACCATGAGTATATTATTATATTATGAGAACAAAAGAAAGCGTTACGAATGAGAAATATTGGATTGACAAAAAAAAAAGAATGAGAAATATTGTGTTAGACTTGTCCAATAGCTGATCGCCTACACAATCTTTATCTAGTTTTTTTTTTTTTACAGCAAACATTCTTATCTACTTTTTTTCCAATTAATTCTTCTTTACTATCTTCTTAGCTGTAATTCAGACCCAAAAAAACAAAAATTCCTTTTGTGAATAAGTAAAAAAAAAAATTTAAAGGAGAACATGGAAAGTGCTGATAATAAAAAATACAATTTTAGAACTACATCTATATATTTTTGGTATCTATAGGTGTTTCAGACCCAAAAAAATAATTCCTTATTTGAATTAGTGAAAACATAAAAAGTGTTAGAAATGAAAATAGAGGCTGTTATTGTAAAAATCACCTACAATAGATTAGTTTGTAATATTTTAGTATGTATGAAGTTATTCTACTAAAATGCAAATAAAAAAGGATTAATTGTCCCAAAAAATATTGAAAAATCCTCTATCCCCTATATATTAATTTAGAAGCATTTTTAAAGAGTAACCTCCTTTTCGTAAATATTTACAGGATGTTATTATGCTGATGTGTTAACCTTATATTCATTTTTAGCTAATTTTTTTTTTTAAACTTAGATTACTAGACTAATTACATGATATGTCATTATATTGTTAAGGTCCATACATATGTTATATTTCATTTTATAAATCAGTATTTAATTTATTAAGATATTTTTTCTTTTATTTCTTACCAAAAATATATCATATTAATTAATTATTTAATTTTATTTTCTACCAAAAATCTATTTTTCTTTTATTTTCATTTAAACTTACTTTTGTAAAGTAAATTAATTATCACATCCATCTAATAAAATATATATAGATTTTTTGTACATGTATTATAATTTAAATTTTAAAAATTGAATATAAATTACTCAAATTATTAATAAATAAACATAAATCATTATAATTTAAGTCCATTATAATCATTATAAAAGTTGATTGTAATTTTAGTTCATTATAGTCATTATAAATAAAATTCAGTAGTCATAATTCGATTTAATTGACTCTTTCCAAAAGTAAATTTTCAATTAACTCATAAGTATACAATAAATAGTATTTAATATTTAATATAATATTATTTTGAGATAATTGACAATTTATTAATAATTTTAATGAAAATGAAATTTATTGTGTTTCATATATGTTAGTAATATAAGTAATTTAATTTATGGCACATTCACTAATCTAATTTAGATATAAGTAATATATTAATTCAAATTTATTTTGTTAATCAAGATATATATATTCAAAAATTTCGAGTAGAATTGATAATGACACTTTTGTCTAATAAGTCATCAATGTTTAAAACTTATTTGGAGTAAAAATAATATATAAGATAGATAAACATCAATATTTTTATAGAAGCTAATTATAATAAATTTTATTTGTCACATTATTTTTTATATAATCAATCATAGCAAAAATGCATCAAAACTCTACCCATATTACATCTTAAATTTAATATTCCGATTTGTTATGTATACACTATATATGTAATTATGCTTTATTATTATATTTTAGATAATATTTTTTGATTAAAGGTTTCTGGAGTCAATAATTATTCTTTTCTTTTACAAAGAGATAATGTATGTATATAATCATTATTTTTCAAATTAAAAATATAAAATTATGTCTTTTTAATTTATCGATATAGTAGATAAGTAACAAACTATTTAAATTATAATATTTAATTATTATTTTAGAGTTAACAGTACTAAATATATATACAAATATTATACTAAATTTTAATAAATAATAATTATTTCATTCCGCACAGAATGCGGGTTATTACCTAATTAATATAGTAATATGAGAATTAAGTATGAAGTGAGGACAAAAGGTTTATAAATCATATCAAGTCAATGTTATAACTTTAATACTAGAAACATCATTTTAACAACATTTGTTTTACCAAGCAATGAGGCAAATCAAACTTTTTAAAATAAGAGTTTGAGGATACCCATATCAATGGTTCTCAACAAGTATCTCACCATTTAAATAAAGAAACAAACTGAAAAAGGAAGAGAGATGATCCTCAAACAAGAAACGATCCTCAGTTTTTGAAATACTCTTTTGTGTGTTACATTTTAATTGCTTCAAAACTTTAATATATTTAAAATTAAAAATTTCTGAGATACCCAAGAGGGTATCTACTACTGGAGATGCTCTCATAAACTTTGCATCTCCATTATTTTTTTGGAAACATAAAAACTTTTTTCACACAAAAATTGAAAATAATATACAACAATATCATGTTTAAAATTTACTAATACCAATATTATATTGTGAAAATTATTCATTTAAAATATGTATCTTGCATTACTTATTATTATTTTTACATTCAAGTTTTTGATGTATATCATATATAATTTTTTTTCATTTAAAGGTAATTTTATATCGTTTCTTTTGTACAAACCATACTATTTATATGTATATTGTGTTTTTCTATATACTAAAACTATATTCAACATGTATTGCTCTGCAATCCGCTTAATACTCTCATAATTCAATTTGCTATTATCATTCTAAATTTAGGCATGATGGAAAAAAAAAAAAAGAGAAAACAAAAAGTGAATGAATGAAAGGCTCAATTTCTATTGGGGATATTTGTAATATTAACATATTTTTGTTTATTATGTGTAATTTTCTAATTTTATTAGGTTAAGTAAATCCCTTATAACTATATATATATATATATATGCCTCTTTAGGCTAGTGAATCTTCTTAAGCCGCAACGTTGGTATGATATCAAAGCGAAAGGCATAAAACTTAGAGGTTTGTCTATTTGATCTTTTTTTATTTTATCTTTTTCATTTGAGTGTGAGAGTATATAGAATCTGGTCTTTACAAAAAAACCATTCTCGTTCGTTTGTTGTGATTTGTTTCTGATCTCAGCTTGTTATCATGGGTGACAATACAGAGAAAATGGGTTCTTCATCAGAACAATCAATTCTCTCGGATTTCTATCTACATCCATCATACAATGGGAAATTTAACTTCTAATGTTCTGCTAATCAAGATGATTGGAAGTTGCTCATAAGTAGGAACTCCATCAAATGTATATTTATAATGCACCCCTCCATGGTGAGTTGATGAAGAGCTTTATGTGCACATTCCTTAGGTTTTTTGCAATATGTTCCTAATAAGAGCTACAAGTTGTTGAAATATTTATATAGTTTAAAACAAGCTCAACAATTTCCACACTACAGACAACTCTTCTACAATATGGATTAAGCAATCTATATCCGGTTACTTCTTATTTTCTTTGGTTAAAGGTTCCATTGAACTCGATGAACTCCTTTATGTGGATGATCTTGTGACTGGTGGTAATGATTTAAAGATAATTTATACATTTAAGAAGTATCTTCATATTTGTTTTTACATGAAAGATTTGGTTACCCTACGATACTTTTTGACCATTGAAGTTGCACATCAAGATGAAGGAATATTTCTTTGTCAACGGAAATATTGTCTTGATATTGTTACTGAGAGTGGACTGCTTGGAGCTAGTCTTGATGTGTACGCCTATGGATTAAAATCACAATCTTGCTGGGGAGATTGGTGATCTTTATGCATATTCAGACCAATATCGAGACGCATTGTTGGGCGTCTCATATATCTTACTGTCATTCGACATATGCAGTACACATTTGATCTCAGTTTATGCAATCTTATGCGATATCTCAATAGGAGGTTATACATTTCCTACAAGTGGGTACATTATCTTAAGTGTACACCATGATAGATAATTTTCTTAAATGTGTATTCTGATCTTCGTTTATGGGGAAATTGCAACTCTGATTGGGCGGTGTTGTCCAATTACTAGGCGTTATTTTTCTTGTTATGTATTTCTCGTTGGTGCTTCTTCTATCTCGTGGAGGACAACAAAGCAACAAACGATTTCTAGATTTTTGCCTGAGGGTGAATATCGATCGATGTTGATCCTAATTGTGAAATAAAATGGTTACGAGAATTACTATGATTATTTGATATTTCGTTAACCCAACCGGTTTCTATCTATTGTGATAGTCAATATACATTTCATCTTCCTTTTAATCCTGTAGAACACTGTACAAAATATTTTGAGAATCATTGTCATTTTATACGTGATGATGTTTTTGTCAGTTTAATTAAGCCATTATATATAATTATATATCTTCTAAAGAGCAACCAACTTTTTTACAAAACATTTTAACCGTCTTCCATTTAATACTTGTTTAGTTAAGTTGGGTATTCGAAATCTCTATACTTTAAATTAAAAGAGTACTAGAGATACTTATTATATTAATATATCTTGTTAACTATGTGTAATTTTCTAATTCTACTAGATTTAAGTTAAATCTTTTATAATTTTTATTATATAAAAATACATATGTCAAATTTGTTAACTAACATGACCATGACATATGACAAGTTAATTGATAAGATTTTGATATGTATTACGATTTAAATATATTTTAAGTTTGAGAAATTTTTATAATCTAAAAACTATTTTTAAACTAATAAGCAATTACTTTAAAAGGAAAAATAAAATAAAATGATATATTTCAATTAAGAAAATAAAAACAAAAACAAAAGTAAATTTATTATATAAAATATCTTTTTTTACGATTTATATAAATACTAGCACTATCTTTTTTAACAACTTTTACTTATAAAGTAATGAATAATGGTAGACTGAATGTAGACTATTGAGTACTGATAGACTAATAGAATATTAAATACAAAATATTGACAGACTAAACGGTAGATTAAAAATACATTAGTGGATCTCTCGTATGAATCACTTTTAAAAAGTTCATATTTCGTAATAAAATTATCAAATGATTCATTATAAAAATTACCCCAACTTTATAATTAAATACAAATAAAGAATAATTTTTTTAAAAGAAAAAGTAAAATAAAATGATATATTTCAATTAATGAAAGGTAAACGAAAACAAAATAAGAATAAGAATAACTCTGATCTTTAAAGTTAGTTATTAATATTATTGTGACATATGGTAATCTAATCGATTAGTTTTGATATTTTTTATGATTTAATTTTATTTGAAAATAAAATTTTAGTTTAGAAAATCTCTATACCTATAAAACACAAGTCAGTTGGCAATTCTGGGTCTGACATCTGTCATTTTATTTATTTTTTAAAAATTATTTTAAATTTTCTAATTTAAAATTTCTTTAATCAGTTATGAGTTTTTATCATTTCATTTTTTTTTCTGATCTCACGATCCACTAATTTGAATTCATTAAGTAGTGTGCAATCAAATTTTGATAACTGTCATTTAAATAGAATAAAAAACCGTTTAAAGATTTTAAATAAAAATAAAAATTTTGTTTTCATCATTATCTCTTTAAACAGTTAAACTACACGATCATCTCTTTAACCACTCAAAAAAAAAATTGCTTTCTAACTTCTTATCAAAATGGTAGAGACAACAGAAGTTATAGATATACTTTTTAGTCAATGTTATCATCATCATGTTCAGATCGTTGGAATAACTTCTCCACATGGAGAGTTTGTGACTGTGTTCATCAACTTCTCTCTTCTTCCTAAAGTCGAAGTGTTCTCCTCTTAATTATTGATTTCTCTTTTATACTTAAACTTGCTTAAGAAGTTTTCTATTTTTGTTTTTAAACATTTTGTTAGCTTAATTGTGATGTTTCAGGCGTTAAATATGAATTGCAATAACATTCATCAGCCTCACCACATTGGAAGACAGAATTAACGGTATTTGGATCATATGGTATTTAAATCTATTTGATTTTTGGATAGTTAATAGTAAAAATAAATTATTTTATTAAGAAACTTCCATTATGATGGCTTCGCAGGGTCCGTAAAGAGGAACCAATTTGATCAAGTAGAAGATGAAGTTATGAGTTTAAAAACTTGTAAAGACAATCACTTTCTATGATTGTTTCTATTATGTAATAACAAAGTGTTCATCTTGTGATTGTACGATGCGAGGAGTGGTTGTAAGAGTCTGGAAATGTCGTAAGAAGAAGCTTCTAAAACAGGAAATGTCGAAAGAAATTGCATTTTTATTCTTCCCACAAAAATCTTTCAGCCAAAGTCCTCCTCAATAGCCTCTTCAGTAGTTCAGTGTGTATGTAAAACAAGTTTGGTAAATAAGTGTTTCAATGTTCATTTCCAAAACTATTTTATATCTGTAATTTATTAGTTGTATATAACTGAAATTTAGTTTTATTTATAGGTAAAATTAAATTTCTGTGCTTAGCACGGGAGATAATACTAATTTTTAATAAAGTACTATTTCTATTATAAATATAATTTAAAAGAAAAAATAAAACAAAAAATATATTTCAACTAGAAAAAGAAAAATGAAAATAAAAATAAATAAAATAACAGTAATTAACTTAATTACAATATATGGAGATTTAATCGACCAAATTTTTATACATTATGTGATTTAATTTATTTAAAAAGAATTTTATGTTAGAAATTTTTATAATCAAATACTATTTCTAAAAAATAACTTGAAAAGAAAAAATAAAACAAAAAGAATTTATTTTAATTAAAGAATAAAAATAAATAAGAATAACTTTAATTTAGGAAAATATAAGTTGAAATCTTAATACTAGAAAAAAAACTATTCATATATATATATATATATATATATTTATATGAGAATCAATTCGTAAAAATATTAGCATAAATAAATACACAAGTAGTAAAATTATAAGAAATAAAAATTATTCAAATAAAAATATAAAATCTTGAAAATTATAAATATGTAATAAAAATTAATTAGAAATAAATTAAAGTACAAGTAATTCAAATTTTTAAAATACTTATATATTTTGTGAAATATTTTATTATATATCTACATATACGCATTTTTCACTCTTTGGATTTTAGTAAATAAACATGTTCTTCCGCTACACCGTAACACCGCTACTAACTTTGATAACTTTGTATCCATCGACGCAGTTGATATGTCAAGTGTGACGACAATGGTAAGCCAAGTGTCAATATTTCCTTGGTCATCTTCTACCCATTAATATTCCCATCTCCCAAACTAACACTCTTCTTTAACACACCCACACAAAACAAAAACAGGCATTAATGTTTAGTCTCTTCTTCACGTGAAAAAACAGATTGCATTTGGATAAATACAGCAGATCGGTTTTGGTATCATCATATATACCTCTCAAAACCAAACTGAGATGAGTTCTGCGATTCGTCTTCTTCTGTTTCTCATACTAACCCTTCCGCTTGTCACATCTTCTGCCCGCAACACCCTCTCTGTTTCAGGTTTCATCTCTTGTAATCGCTTCCTCCACTCCATCATGTTTTGATTCATAGAATTGTATGATGTTCTGATTCTGTTTTTTTTGGGGTTTAACCAAACTTGAATCGGTTTTTATTTGTTAGGATTTGCGAAGACAGGGATTGCAAGAAGATCGTTGATGGTGGTGAACATAGAGGATTATAGTGATCCATCTGCAAACACCAGACACGATCCCAGCGTTCCGACCAATGCAAAGGCTGACACATCACCTTAAAACTCTTTGACTTTTACTTGCTTAGTTTCTATGTTGAATATATATATAAGCTAAATGTATCAATCAGACAATTTGGAGACATTAAGACTTTGATATGGGTGTTAAAACAAAGCATGGACACTTTGGCACATTAGCTTTTGACAAAAAACAATATTATTTTGCGTCTATATACTATGGAGCTTCAGGTTAGGGTTTCAGAACCTTCTAGCCTGAGAAGAATGGTTTCGTCAGGGTTCTGCTGATGAGATCTTTTAGCTCGATCTCCCCTGGAAATCTACCTTCTTTCAATTTCGAAAACACCTGAGAAGACCAGACATTAGACTGGTTTAGCTTTACTATTACTGAAACTGATCCATTTGGCACAATAGCAGCACAAGTCTGTGTCTTATAACCAAAGCTTATCACAGAAAGTGATATGATTCTGCATTCTGTAAGAGAAAGAGAACTGACCATTTCTCCACTGCAGCTAACTTCAAAGGCCCCTGAACTTTGCAGGAAAGACTGCAAGAAGTTTCGGTGCTGGTGGCGGATAGTTAGCGAGGATTACATCAATCCCGGAAAAGCCGTCTCTAACATCTTCTTCATGGTTACTGCAGTTCCCCTGCAATCAAAATTAGAAAGAAAAAGAAAAAAAAGAAACTCTTAAGAATGTGCAGAATCTGCTTCAAAAGGTGACAGCTTTTGACAGTTCTTTCAACAGGAAATGATGAGTTCCACTATTTATACAGAAATGTAGTTACTAACATTCGAATCACGAATCCGAAAACTTTGAAACGAATAAGTAGTTTTGCATACGTTGAAGAAAATAACAAGTTTACGTCTCACATTGCAAGCTAGGTACAGCAACGATTATCAAGAATTTAACTTGTAGCATTAATCTATGAGGAAAATCGAAGAAACAATGCAGATTAAAACAACAGTAAAGAAGATGCAGAGCCAAAAGGAAATCCAAAGATTACTTGTAAGAGCAGGAGACGCAGAAGTTGATCTCTACGGCATTTCCATGTCCAATTCCTCCGGCAACATTTGACTGCTACAAAAGAGGAACTATTAGAAGGCGAATGTGAGAGAAATAAGTAGTGACAATAGAGAAAATAGCGATGCATTTCACCTGTGAAGCGAAATCTAGGGTTTCTGAGACAATCGCCGCCGGACGCTGCGGGTGGGAGATAGACGGTGGTGGGTGGTTCTGAGTTTTCGGCGGTGGTGGAATGAAGAGATTGAAGAGATCAGAACATAACAAGAGAATCGGTAGTCCTAAGAAGATCAACTGTGCCCTGTCATGGCTCAGAAAGTTAAATCTCAGAGAGGGAAAGCCGGAAAGGTAGATCGATAGTAGAGAAGCATGAAGTTGAATTTGAAAGAGAACGATCAGGGAAGAAGAAAGCCCTGTTTGGAAGCACGAATATCATTATCCTAGTCACTGGTTAAATAGATGACAACCCGTATGTCTGTATCATCAACACTTTAACACCCTATGTTTTAAAAATGAATTTCACACCCCCATACTTATGAAAACTAGACAAATCCCCCATTAGAGACCAACAAACTTCATAAACCTTGAATAATGTCTTTAACACATTTTCAAATAGAGGTTAATATCCTTCAACATTTGATGAAAAGTTTTGCGAAACGAGCACAATCTAATTTTAGAAATAGGGTAGAAACAGTTTTAGGTTACCCAATACAATATAAATTATTATTGATATAAGATTGATGTACATCGAATTATGTAAAAACAGTACATTCAAATCTTACCAAAAATACAAGAAATTTTAATATATACAAAAATTCAAATCTTCATTGGAAAAAAGAAAACCATTTTTTTTTTTTTTTGAAATCATACAAACACACATAAACCCACATTATAGGACAACTTCAAAGAGCACACAATGCCTCGCTTTCCTCTTTCAAAACTCAAGTCTGAATCACAACTCCATGTCCCCTCATCATCGGCATGTCGCCAATTGCCTTAAGTGGCGGCAAGGGCAACGCCACATTGCTTCCATCGTAGGCCGAGAGGTGAACTCCTATGGCGGCTCTTCCCGATGGATCCATATTGTTGGACCAGCTTGCGTCCCACTCCACTGCCTTTGCAGTCGAGCAAGCCACGGTCGCACCTCCAGGAACAGTTAGCCTTGCCGAGTTCTGTGGGAAAATAAAACGCAGCTCAAAAGTTTGTAAATCTGTTAAAACAAAACAAATAATAGAGATTCATAAGTGTCTCACCTGTGGGAAGAACCTCTCAAAGATCATTCTGTAATAGTAAGCTTCTTTGGTAAGTGGAGTGTTGTGTGGGAAGATATGTACAGCGTTCGCCATCATCTTGTCATTGACCTAAAAACAGAGCAGAAATGATCAGATCTAATCCGGAATTCAGCAAAAGCGAAACAGATATTTGTGTAACAAATACATTTTCAGCAGCATGAGCTTTGAGGCCATCGATCCAACTATAGCCAACACCATCACTGAACTGCTCTTTCTGTCTGTAAAGAATGTGCTTTGGCAGGTAAGGACGTTCTTCATCGTCAAAGGCTCTCCTTAAAACCCACTTCTCGATCCTCCCTTCCTCTGGTTTGATCTAAAGAATCACATATAAACGTTAGCTTGTGAAATAGGGTATATAGAGTTTGGGATTTGCGTTTTGTAGTTACCATCTTGGAATCAGGGTCTAGAGACATAGCGGTGTTGATGAACTCTTTGTCCAGAAAAGGAACACGCGCCTCTAGACCAAAAGCTGAAGTAGCTTTGTTGGCTCTCAGACAGTCGTACTTGTGAAGAGCCTTGATCTGCAAGGCATCGCATACAGAGAGTTAAAGTTCTCGTCTTTGACGACGTCTTCTTAGAGAATAAATTGAATAGATACCTTGCGACAGGTTTCTTGGTGAAACTCTTGCTTGTTAGGTGCTTTGTGAAAGTAGAGATACCCTCCAAAGATCTCGTCGGAACCTTCACCGGAGAGAACCATCTTCACACCTAGCGACTTGATTTTCCGGGACATCAAGAACATCGGCGTGCTCGCTCTGATCGTTGTCACATCATAGGTCTCAACATGGTAAATCACATCTTCTATGGCATCAATCCCATCCTGAACCGTGAAGTGGAACTCATGGTGCAGCGTCCCCAAATATTCCGCCACTTCTTTTCCCGCCTTCAAGTCCGGCGAGCCCTAACGGAAAAAAAAAACCATAAATGATTAAAAACAAATGTTTTCTATATAGCATCTATACTCTGCTTTTGAAAACAGAGTAACTCTGTTTTTGTATCTCACCTCAAGACCGACGCAAAAGGAATGGAGCTGAGTACCAAATTGCTTAGCAGCCTTAGTTTCCGCCAGGTGACGAGCAGTGATGGAGGCAACAAGAGAAGAATCAAGACCACCAGAGAGCAAGACTCCAAAGGGAACATCACTCATCAACCGCTTAGTCACAGCCTGTAGAGAAACACAAAACAGATTAGTTTCTCACACACAAATACATTAAGAGATCTTTTGATTCGTTTCTTACGTCTTCAAAGGCTCGTCTGATCGCGAGAGGCTCATAAGGCGTTGAAGGAACAGACTCATTGAACCAAGGAGGATTGTACCATTGCTTAAACCCTCCTGATTTGCTTGAATACAAATGACCTGGAGGAAACGTTTCGAAATGCTCACAGTCTTCGTTTAAGCCTTTCATCTCTGAAGATATCCACACAGATCCGTCTAGTCCCCACCCAATGTAGAGTGGAGTGACACCAATGGCGTCACGTGCCACCATGAAGGAGTTGTTTCTTGTGTCCAGCAACACAAAGGAGAAGACTCCATCCAACATATCAACAAACCCCTCTCCATGCTCCTCGTACTGTACACATCCACAAGATTTTGATCATATTATGACTCAACAAAATCAATAATAACAAATCAGCAAGATCCGGTTAAAAAAAGAAGCACATACCAAGTGAGCAATGACTTCACAATCACTACCAGTGTGGAACTTATGATTCTTGAGACGCTGTCTCAGCTCCTCATGGTTATAAATCTCTCCATTCACCTTCAAACAAACCAACAACGGAGAAAAAAGTTTCAGAATTTTCAAATCTTGAAAGAGTTGTTAAAAGACTTGATGGATATAGATTTTGAGAGGTGGCGTTACCGTGACGACAATGGTCTTGTCCTCGTTGAAGAGAGGTTGATCACCAGAGTCAGGATCGATGATCGCAAGACGTTGATGTGCCAAGTAATTGTCTCCGTGCTGATATATTCCACTCCAGTCAGGTCCTCTGTGCCTCAATCTAAAAACCCAAATTTTGAAAAGAAAAAAAATTATCAATATTCAGAACAAAGATGATATCAAGATTTTATATTTTCTCGGGAATATTCTACTAATAAGGTTCGTTTTTCATTTTCTTTCAAAAAGATTTCACATAAACTATGCAAAAGCCCTAAAGGGAGACGTTTGATTTGATCAAGCATCACTGTTCATGTCGCGTTCAACAAAAAGGTACCGGAAAATGAAAATATAAATAATACTACAAAATTATTTCGTCAGAATAACACATAATATTCTTTGATGGTTGTCTAACATCAAACTAATCATAATATGATTTGTCGGTTATAACTAAGCTGCTTTAACGTCACAAACGAAGAAAAAGAAAAGAGAGGAAAGTTGAAATTGCCTGCGAGAAAGCTCAAGAACACGGACTCTCTTCGCCTGAGAATCGTCGGAGCATCCTAAAACGGCAAGAATTCCACACATGTTTCTTTTGGGTGCAGGAAATGAAAAGATGGAGAAAAAATGAGAACCGAAAAAACAGAATTTTCCGAAACTCTAGGAGATATTTAAAATCTCGAAAAACAAGAAAATGAAAGCTGACAGATGTCAAAGAAACGAACGGAGAAAATTGCACGTAGAGCGTTTTTATCGGTTTTCTCGTGCTTTGGTGTTGAGTTTCTCTGCGACCGATCGCTATATTTATAGAGTGCAAACGGCGCCGTAGTGTCGCGTTTCGTTTCGAAGGGGCCCATTTATTTTTACCCCTAACCGGATAATTACCCGATAACTTTGCCAAGCTGGTGCCATGTGTTACCTTCTTACGACTTCCTATTGGGATTTTTTTCACCTTCTCTTTTACCTTGTTTTCCCCCATTTTTTCACAGCAAGGAAACTCCGGTTTAAGGGTTTATCCGGGCTGAGTCAGCTAAGTGCAAAGATAGCCCATGGACTATTCTGATTGCTTTGAAGCCGTACACGTGTTCCTATGACAATGGTGGGTCCACTTGCGTTTGATTGTAGATAAGCATACTATTAAAACATTTACTAACAAATTTATTGACTAATTTTGGTCAATCTAATTTTAAAAATATAGAAAAACAAAAATAGTAGTACGTAAATTAGCAAAAAGAAAGGATGTGCATCAAAAATGTTATCTATAAATCTTAGAAATGTTATATTGGAAAGGAAAAGTACCATTTATAAATATATATATAGCAAAAAAATGTAATGTTTTTTAGAAGGCTTTTATAGTAAAATGAGGGCTAGAAATGATTAAATAAAGATTTTTTAGCAAAAAAATAAAATAATTTTTTAGCACAGTACTAAAGTTTGGTAAAAGATCTTCCGGTCCGTTACATTTCTCTTTGGCTTAATCAGGGACCCCTTAACATATTTTGTCATCAAAATCGACATATATAAAACTAACAGATACATTTACAATATTCTTACCAATGTAAGCAAAAATCTTTGTATAATTTATAATTAACGCTCTTTGTATGTATATCTTTTAATCGCTTTGGAGTTTGGACATGTGTTACGGAGTTGGTCACGATTCAAAACCGAAACTTGAGAATGAGATAACAATCATATGGTCCTTTCCGTTTCCGAAAATGAATAAAAGAAGGTCGAGTATATCCACAAATAATTACATTTTAAACTAATAGTATATATATATTTTAAACGTGTATTTTTTATATAACAGATCACATGTGTATTTCCATGTCTAGGCATCGCACATGGCTCACACGTTGCTTCAATGTGCAAGGGTGGTGGGAAGATGAATCTCAACATTACACAACCTTGGAATTTGGATAATGCTTAAATCAGAGTTCTTTATAAAGTTTAAAAATGGTACGGAATGACATAAAAATATCCATACATGGAAAAAGTAGGTTCTAGTTTGAAAATATGATCTTAAATACGATTGCTCTTCATCCTGTAATTATTAAACTTCACTTTCGATGTTTTTTGGTCGAGTAAAAATTTAATCGGAAACATGATAATATTAAGGTATCAAGTCCATATTGCGATGTAATATACCAATGTGATTGTTGTTTGTTTCTCTGTTCTTTTTTGCTATTGTTGTTGTTTTTTCTTTATTTAAAATAAGGTGTTTTGATATTTTAAATACTGTAGTAATTACAATTTTACAATTGCTATAGTGTCCATCTATTAAGATGTTACAAGAGAATCGTTCAGCTCTAGATGATTTCTTTTTACCATTATAGCGTAAAACCAGACTGTAAGCACGTCTCATAATACAGTTTAGATTGTAGGTCAAGGAA